GCGCTATATTTTGGAGAGTAATCAAGATAAATTTAAATTTGTTTTGTCGGTTCATGCAACATCGTTTGTTTCTACAAACGATGTTGTACATCGAATTTGTAATACAAATATTGTAATCCGAATATACAAATAACTAAAAATACCCACTTTTTGAGTTGTTACAGTTTTGATCTGGGTGTGCGATATTTTACTATATTTTACATTACTTTAAAATGTTTATCTTCATCCCATACACGTAAAACAAGTTTTTTCAAATGGGAACATATGTTTTTGATCTGGAAAAAACTTTAAGCACTGATGGTTGTATATATTATATATAGTAAGGAAATTAATATTTAAATCCCTAATTATAAAACTAATACACTCTATGCATATTATACGTATTTTGGCAACAATGTTGTCATCTTCTGCGCTAACGACAAACTGAGTCGACTTATCAATGGGTATCAATATTATTTTACAAGGATACTACTGTTGTGAAAACCGAACGAATACTAATCTTAAATCCAAATCTTTACAAAGTCATAGCAAACGAACTGGTTGATAAAAATTAAAGATTCAAACGCTTAATTTGTTTTAAATCTTTTGTCTACATATTTATGGAATTAAATTCATATCTACTCATTAAAAAAAACAAAGTCCATACTTCTTTTAGTAAAGGAGTTCAAGTTAAAAATTTTGTAAGTATTGAAAAATATAGTAAAACTATGTACCTACAAGTATAGGAAAAAAATAATTTTAAAAATATTCATATTTTCCGAGTAAATGAGTGTCTTACAACAAACGGATCACCCTATATAGAATCTGTACAGAGTAGAAGTCCGTTAACAGTAGTGTCTGCCATAAACATTATATGGACTTATTACGGTTATTGTTGTATTATGTTGTGTCCATAATAATTATTATTTGCTTTGAAATATTATTATTATTACAGAACTCCAGTGAAACGAGCGGAATAAATATAAGAGTGCATGCTGAATATATCTGGCTACTCTTTGTCGGGGACTAAATGCATAAAAAAATAGGTATTTCAAAACATTATTATATCCATAAAAACGCTTGTCGACCCAACCGGTCGGAAAATAACGTTTAAATAAGTCAAATTATTCCTGCCGAGTATTTCTAGAACTAGTAGGTATGTATTAAACTATGAAGTTTCCTTGTTATAAGTTTGTAAAATGTTAAATTATGGATACGATCGAAATGTCAAAGGGAAGCTTAAATTTTAAATGTCCTGTTTAGGGTTTGTTTTTTTAGCAAGAATTACCTTCAAGAACTCGTGCCCCGAGTTCATATTATAACACGTCATATTGACAGAAGTTTAGTTAGTGGGTTGTTTTTGTATTCTACGACCTGAAATAGAATACACAACAGTGAAGTTTTAAAAGTGCGTCAAGTATTGACCTATGCACACTTCAAACATTAAATACGGTAACGTATAACATATATTTGATGTAAGTAATACGAAAAAATGTTCATATTATAGCCAACATCATTTTTGGTATAACGTAATAAATAGTTGAACGAGATGGTTAGAGTTTTTATAAAATTGCAGTGAAACCGTCAATGACGTTTGGAAGTTCTGAATAAAAGAGTTGAAAGGAAACAAGAATATCTAACTAGATGTGTATACAGAGGGCGCCATCTGATGTAAGACATCTGATTTAGGAAAATATAAAAATTTTCCCAGAAATTTAATTTGTTCGTATACTTAAAGGTATATATTTCACTATATTTTTCAATACTTTGAACATTGTTATTTTCATCCCTTGTACGTAAACCAGACATGGACTTCGTTTTTTTCCAAATGGGAACATATTATTAATATGTTTTTAATTCTATAAATATGTAAAAAAAAAAAGTTAAACAATTTTAGCGTTTGTATTTTTGATTTTTATCAATCTGTTCGTTTTCTATAACTCTGTGGAGATATTACATTTCCCATTTTTTATTAGTTGTCTAAAAAACAGTAGCCCATAAAATTCATATTATTGTTCGCATTGTCATTTGTCTGATAGGCGATAACAGCGGTAACCCGACTTAATAAAATGTGTTGAGATAATGATACACAAGCTGTTGTTATCTAGATATTTAAACACAGTAACAGCTACTGACTTTTGAACAACCAAAGAAATAGGGGGAAATGTAATATCTTTACAAAGTCATAACTCATAGCAAACGAACGGATAAAAGTTGTACTAAAAAAAACTTAATATTTATCATAATTATTTTTAAATATTTTATAAAACAATAATTGAATAATATCAATTAAGACGTAAAACACCAGCACAGTAACACCAATAACTAATAAATATTAACCAATTTCTATATAATATAAGTAAATAAAAACAAGCTAAGTAAAATGTACTGTTCAGTCAAGTAAAAAGGAATGAGTATTGCTGTCGTGTTCGATATTGTCAATATAATTTAAAAGTTGTTGATGTAACGAATTCTCATACTACTATGTAGTGTTTACCTACTTTAAATCATTATCCCAAAAACCTGCTATAAGTCTTGCGGGAAAATTACAAATTTACAACTTTTTAATTTTGTCCGTGCAGGTTTTCAATTGTCTGCACAAGCGACACGTGTCTATAAAATCGATACTCTTGTAGTATTTACTCCCAAGTATAAACTGGCCAAAACTAATTAATACTTTGTTTTCTTAAAAATTGATTGCCTCGTGTAAAGTCGTGTTTTTAAAAATATATTTCTGCAATACTTTGTACTTCGTCAGTAAACTCAGAATTTAAATTTGAATAACATCTACTTATATATATATATATATATATATATATACAACATTATATTATATTGTTTTATTTACATATTTCTGTATTTATTGTGCGGTAGCGTTAATGTGATAAAATTAATAACGCTTTGAGTTTTTCACATTCAACAAATTGACTGGATTTCAACCATTCCCGACGAACGTATTGTTTTTGTTCATGAATACTATTGTTTAAGTATTTCCAAATATTAGCCTAATGAATAACGCAATAGCTTTGTGCAGATAAGAATGGCATCCGTCTTTACAATTAGTCGTCATCTGCAAGAGACAGATCAAGTAGAAAATCAAATGGTAGAGCTTTTCGGCTTTTGCATTTCTCTAACAGATATTCGACTGGCATAATTATTTTCCGCTATTGACATATTTAAGATGATAAGCCAATACCGCAGAAATAAATAATAAATATAAAGAATTACAATCAGACAAATGGAGATAAATGCTGTATGATATATAAAATATTAAAACTACTTTTAAGAAGACGCTAAGACGATTAAGAAGTTACGTATAGTACATTTTTTGAAAAACCTTAATATTGTGATGTGTAATTCTTAGTTCAGTGATGAGGACTTTTTTTTTTTTGTAGTTGATTTATTTTTCAGACTATCGCAGTATCCTTGATGACAGCGCTTTGACTCTCTAAAATATGCTTCCTTTGATTGTAAATAAGTGGAGTATAAATTAAGTTATGTTAGGTTAAAGACCTAGCTAGGTTTGAGAACTTTAGGGTGTTACCTTTGAAGTGTTTGTGTGTGTGTTTTTATAAGTAAAGTTTATGGGGTTCGGATAAGAGATTATAGTAGATAGCTAATGTATTACCGATAATTGCTTTCCAGTTTCCTGAGAACAAACCACATGCGACGTGTAATGTTTTCGACGATTATATGGGACATTAAAGAAAGTCGGCGATAAGTATCATTTTAAAATAAAACCCAAGTAACAAAGACATTTTTTTAAAAAATATCTATGACGTTACAATATTGTAGCTGTAATGGATTGCAAATAAAATATTGTATGTATAGTTTCTACAATGTGAGAATAATATTTTCCTATATGTATTTTTCAAAATATGTTTTCTTAATATTTTTTTCAATTAATTTAAAAATGTTATTTATTTTCATTTTAAAAATATTGTATATATTACATTTTTTATTAAAGTTACAAAAACGTATTAAAGCTTAAAACGTTACTTAAAACATTTATTAATATAATGTTTCTTTGCTACCAACTTGGGATATTTTTTTTTAGTTCAAAACATCAAAATTATCGTACATTGTACTTCGTGTTTAGAATAACATTTAAAAAATAATAAGTACGAAAAATAAAACTTTTAATAATATGTAAATAAATGTTATTTTAAAACTGTCGAACGATGTTATTTAAAAAAAAACTTAAAATTAAGATCAGGTTATATCATAACGTAAATAAAAGTAATGTTTTACCGCTAGGCGCTAACACGTATACATTAAGCATTATATTTTTAAATGAGTGGTTTTTCTTTTTCACTAATACACCTTAATAGCCTTAATTGACAGCCGATCAACATCAAAACCCTCTCGAAGATTTCCGCGTTCCCTAATCTGTTATTAAAAACTTGCAAGATTAAGTAATTGTAATTTTTACAGAAAATAATCTTGTCCTTAAAACTGTTTTTTTTTCAATAATTTCATTAGTTATAGTTAAACGGAGAAATAAACCAACACTTACCGACTTTCAAATTGATCACTTTAATTTATACATAGCAACTAATCTTTTTACGGATTTTTTACTCGGCTACACTTCGACCAAATTTATGTAAAAATATTTGTTCCCGTGTCCATAAAAAGGTAATAATATAATTAGGCATTCACTACATTATATACACTACTTCATCATATTATACATTATACACACCTGATTTAAAATACATTATGTTTGTATTTATGTACCTCTGTTCTAAAAGGCCGATCTTACTTTTAGCTAGTTTTGGATTTTTTTCCAAACAAAACTTTATACATCTTTTTCATTTTTTTCCCCTAAGAGTGCCATTTTTTACACATTGTACATAAACAGTAAGTAGTAACTGTCTAAGCAGTCTATCTCATTTTCACAAATAAATAACAATTGATTTGGCCTCTTTTAGTCCCAAATGCAACATATACCATTTATATATATATATATATATATTGTATAATAATAATTGTTAAGCGGGTTTTTTTTTATGAATTTTTAGTCGTGCAACGTTGTGTATGTCTTGATATGATCACAAATCGTCGACTGTTCGGTCGGGACAACAAGTGCGGTTGACTTAAACGCACAATGTTCAACAACACTACCGTTAATATCCGAAGCGAAAATGGTACCGGCGTTTGGATGCGAAACGTGGAATCGGGCAGGGCCGCCGTCATCGAAGAACTTATCGCCGAGTTCTCATCGTCGCAGATGAGATTTACCGAGGTCCGAAGTATTTTATTGATGGCTATGTACTTGCCATTGTTCCTGGTGGCGGCCATCGCCAACTCCGTGGTCATCGTCGTGGTCATCAAATACCATTATATGAGAAGGTAAGTTTATTTTCTCGAAATTGAATAGGAAAAAATTCCAAGGAGGCGTGAACTCTAAATAATAGCAGAGCAATGTTTTTTATGCAGCTAACGGTGATGATTAGAGACTGAAAAGGAAATTATTGATAAATTTATTGTGAGTCAAACATAATGACAATATTATATAATATCGCGTGATTGGGCCGTGTTATTAAAATTATTATTTTAAGCTTTTTTTCAATTGACATAATAATACTCTAATAATCAGCAGATTCCAAACCACGCACCGCGGTATTCATATAACAATAAAACATATTATTATTTACAATTGTGTAATATTATAATGTAAGGTAGATGTAGATGTTCAATAAAGCTATATAAAATGTTTATTATCAATGTAAATAAGTGTTCACTTTTTATTCGTATTCTTCGTGGTATTCACAGCAGGGCACTGCGGCCGAATAAAATCCAAAAAAGGGCACCGCTAGCCAAAAAGTTTGGGAAACGCTGCTCTAATTGTTAATTACCTTTATGTGGATATGACAGTTACATAAAAAAAGTGTATGTAAATCAGTCAAATTCGCGTGACCAACGCCGCGCACGCTAATGCGGCCCATCAATCTAACTCATTCCCTGTACAGTATTAATCCATTTCATCAAAAAAAAAAAAAAACGACGAGCTACTTCCTGTAGCACGTCATTTCAAAATTTTCTATTCTTTTTGGTTATGTTTTTGCAATCGTTTTCAGTACATTTCCTGATATAAACTACCATTTCTTGAAGTAAACAGACACTTATTCTGGTTAAACACTCTTCTGACTTATACGCTTAATTATCTCCCATCTGAACTATTGTGCTGCCAAAATGTGTACATTAGCTTCGTATTATTGCTCTTACAAGAAGTTTTTATCGTGTTAATAATGAAATTTATGTATTTCGCTACCCAAATTTCCTTCCATCGTTCCTAGCAAACCATCTATTTTTTGTTCATTCATTTTTACATCTAAATGAGTTTCCTCTCTTATTATATCTATGAGTGTATGAATTAAATAGGTACTTTTGGGTGATACAGAGAAACCTCTGTGCAAAATTTTTCGTTACGTTTGCCTTTTTTTTTTGGTTATTTTCTTAAAACACCTTTTTTTAGTGTAATTTGTAATGCAGCCTCCTTTCTTTTTGTTTTACATTAGCTCTTTTCAGCATCCTAAACATAACCACCCACTACCCAGTTAACACTATCGAACACTTTTTTATTCACAAAAACTAAGTTTTTGTATTCTTATACTATAATTATTTTCTCATACTATTTTCAGAACCAGTATTGCCTTACTTGTATTCATGTTTTTTGCGAATCCGAATCAGGTTGACCACTGCCAACATTGCTTTCATCTTACTTTCCATTCTGCGTATATTATGATTTAGCAAGCTTACCTGATCAGAAAAAGTTGGGTTAGGTTAGTTATTTGTTATTATACGGTTTCCATTTTATATTATTACAAGACTTAAGTTTACAAAGTCAATGCACTCTGTAAACCACTAAAAACAACCACAGCTGGTAATTTATATGTATATATATAATGTATGTATACATAACAATGGATAGATCCATCATAATATTTAATATATACATAACGACCGTACCTATTAGTTCATTCTTACAAAAACAAAATTTCTAAACAAACTGAGACTGAGGCGAATATGATATTAATAATAGAAATAATAATAATAACAATAGTGGTATCGCCAAAATGCGGACCAACTATGTATACATATAATTATGTATAATGTATTATGCATATATTATAATATATAATATAATACACATAAACATATATAATATATGTATACTGTACACAGTGAATTTCTATTTTGGATACAGCGAATTGTAGGGTCGATTTTTTAAGTTGTGGTTTATTAGTATACGATTATATTGTAGTGTGCACTTTATAAGTTCTGAGGTCAACGTCTCCTCAAACTCTCTCGGTCTCATTGGTCTGTATTTTTTCATTACTATACTATAAGATAATTGTACAAAGTTTTACGAGTACAGCATATATGCTATTTTGTATTACTCACCAATGCATCGGTATATCGAGAACTACGGATTATTATCCTTTTTATTAATATTGTTAGTATCATCCTAAATTCAGTTAGTAAAAAAATAAAAATACAAGAATAATAATAATACTAACGGAGAAAATCATAATTGCCTTTCGCCAAATACAATATATCAATGCATTATTATACATTTCCGAGCTTTGGAGATATTATTAAATAATATGAACAAATTGTGTTTACTTTCCGGTTTACAGAACACAGACAAATACACATAATCTATATTATGTTCTTAGGGCAAGGAAAAAATAAAGGTTCCATGAAAATCTGTCGCCGCGGATATAACGACGTCAATTTAATGCTGACAAACCGATTTAAAAGGCAACGGAAAAGAATGACCAGCGATGTCGTTTAATGTTATTCTAGAATGTATAAATTCAATATTATAAGTATGGGTTTTCTTGACTCTACTTCGAATCCTTAATACTACATCACCTTGAACTTCTTGCCGCCTTGCTCCGGTTAGTGCCGGCGGCTGACGCGCGAATGTGAGGTTTTCTTCAGTTGGTCGGTAATCGTCAATGGGTGGGCATTACGTTAATATGGTCACATTTATAGTACTGCCCTATTAGTATAAATTTGTTCAATAAATAGAGCGCTAAATTATAATCTAAAAAATACCTATATAAAGTGCTTTTCTTTGCCCTATATGGAGTACCTTCATCGATCGGTTACTGGTATTATTATTATGTACAAAATTAATGAGCGAGAAGGGGGACTGCTGATCATTTATAATATGACTTCCCTTCAACGATTTCTGATCTATGAAGAAATGAGTCCGCATTGATTAGAAAGACATCGCCATGGGTTCAGAAAAAAAAACAAATTCAATTAAGAAACAAAAACATATTGTTGCGAGAATAACTCTACTTGACCAAAGTCAACGCAAATTGAGCCTACAAATGCCAATAATATATTTGACAAATGATCATTAATGAAATCGAAATTGCCTTCACCTCATGGCAATAATATCTTTGGCAATATCGAAGTTTGGACCAAGGTACGTTTGGGAATATAATGACCACATTTTATAACTGGTGCGGTTCAACTTAGGCCTACGACCTTCGCTTCAAAAAATGTATGTAACTTTTATATCTGGTGTCTGAATTAAATTGAGAACTTGTTAAAACATTAAAACTATCAAGTTATTGTAATAAATTATTCTAATTTAATCCAATATTTTAAAATATTCTAAAAAAATAAGTAAAACTAGTTATTATTAAAATAGTTGTGCATAAGTGCTGGCGCGGAGAAATTACTAATGTCATTTGATAAGAATTCAGGCTACATTTTTTTTTCCTAATTTTTGTTTGTTATTATGTTAGTTTAGTTGCGACGATATTTTTTTTTCTTGCGACAGTTAATATAAAAAGAAAATTGTATAAGTATTAAACGAGCAAAGTGTTTGTAAACCCTTTTTCTACAGCCTAAGGTGGTTAGGTACAGGGTTGTACGTACAGGGTTAAAGTAATAAAAGTATTCTTATTTAAAAACTGAACAGACATTTTCAGGGTAAATTCACCCAAAACGCGTTGAAATAAGATAAAATATAAATATTTAAATCCAATACCAGTTCTGAATTTAAACTAAAACAAAACATGATATTATAATATTATACTAAACTCATATAAACTAAACTGCATGTATTAGCGTAAACGTCTCGACGAATGGTGGTCGGACAGAACAAGATTCACTAAAGGATCCGAAACGAACTGCTCGTTTTGAGTGTATTCGATAAATTTATTTGCCGGTTTTTTTGACAGAGCACAAGTTCATAAGAAAGCACATAAATTTACCCCGTGTTGTTTACGCCAACATAAATTTTATACGGGTGTACGATGGTTGTCAATGCGCATTGAACACCGGCGAAAACTAAAATTATGCTTTTGTGAACACAATTTCGCTTAAGTATCACCGCCAAAGTGCAACAGCGAAATGTATTTGAAAAATACAGGGAATACGAGCAAAAACTAAAATTTTGCTTTTTAACACGTTTTTTCTAAGTATGTACCTATCACCTTTAACGTGTAATAGCAAAATTTATTTGAAGAACTCTTACAAAAGAAAAAAATCCCATTTTCCATGTATGTTACTATACATTATACATAACATATTTTATATTCTACTAGACGGCTGTCCTCTGTAACCATAAATACCATGTGAAAAGTGGTGATTTGGCGAACGAATTTAAATATAACAGCAAACAATTATTATACGTACAACTAAATGCTATAGCACAAAATGAAGCGACTGAAGATTATTGAATAATATATAAATATTATACATATATATTTAAATACGTCATAGCTGGACACTGACAAACGAGAGAATGTTGAAATGGAAATTATTAATAATAAAGAAAAAATATATTTTATTATTAAATCATAAGAGATTATTATTTTTTTAAGAACAAACATATAGTAAATTATTTTTAGAAAAATATACAGCTATCGTGAATAAGCATAGATTATGTTTACCATTTAATGGATATTTGGCATGTTTTCAATAACATGTATTGCTTTGTATTAATTTTTAACTGCCAATATTATCATATTTCTTAAGCGAATCCGAAGGAAAATCAATAAGGACGTTACAATAAATGTAATACGGAATATCTTATACAATTATTGAGTTTTTAACATTATAATTTTATTAAAAGTGTATTATTACCAATATTATTGTATCTATCATTTTTCGCTCAAAAGTAATATTCCAAATGTATTACAAAAGTACTAAGTAAAATAATATTATACTCTGCTTTAATATAAATCATGAATTCCTTCGGTTGTTTGTAGTCTGTAGAGGGAAAATTAATGTTTACTTTTAAACACCATGTTGATGTTTCATTAACCAGACAACGCCATTTCAGTTGTGTTCCACTTGGAAAATATTAATAATTACATTAT